ACCCCCGCCCTCGCTCGGTGGCCGCTGCAGCGCGCGCCTCCCGCGGCGGGGCCCAGCCGAGCCGGTCGTTGGTTTTCGTTTGGTGGAAGGGGAGGGGGGGGCGTAAGTCCCGGGACCCTTCCTGCCCAGCCCCCAGCTTGGGCCTGTTCCTGCCCTGGGCGCTCTGGAGACCCCGCGCCCCTCTCCATTCTCTCACCGCACCTCTGCTTCTCTGGGCCTGCACCCGCATCTCCGGAGAAACTTCACCACCCCCGCAGCACCCAAGGCCCCAACTTGGGTCAAAGGGACGCCCCTCCTGGGCCTGTTAGAGGCCGTGACGCTCCCGGGGCCGGATCCGCGGGACCCGCCAGGCCGCTAGAAGTCCACGTCCTGTTGCCCGCGGGCGGGTCCGAGCGCCCACGCCCCGAGCGGCGCAGAGACCGTTTCTGGCCTGCGGGGTTTTAGGCTTGGGTTTGGGTCCCCGACGCTGCGAAAGCAAAGCCTTGGGCGGTGCGGGGCGCTGCGGAGACCCTAGCGGAGCGGGGATGGGGGGCTGCGGGGGTGGAAGCGAACCTCCAGCGGCTGAAAAGAACCGCATGGACCCCAGCCCCTGCAGCCCTAGCCCGCTTCTCAGAGCTTCTTAGAGCCCAAGAATATTTAACAGGCTGTTAGTATACCGTCATTAGTATGAGTGATCGCCTCTAATGTAAAACATTGTATGCGATTTGTTTCATTTGGAATTTACTGGAGGATTCCGCCCTGTCTCACTAACATAATTTTATTCCTGTTCAGGGGTTTCCAGCCCCACTGGCCGTCTCCTCCCCCTTCCTTCATCACCTGGTTAGTCTGCCTCTCAGCTTGTCCGCAGCCTGGGTTTTGTGTGTGCTCACCCGGGCCCAGGTTTGGCTGAGGGGGAGCCCAGGAGCTGGCATTTTAGAGGTATCCGGGGGATCCTGGGTGACCCGTCCCTCCCTTTGAGAAAGGAGCCTGGTTGGTCCTGGAGGGATATAAGGGCTTTGAGGTTCTCAAAGCTGGGTGTGAACCTTGGTAAGTTCGACAGCCTCTCAGAGCTTATTTACTCAGCGGGAGGGGAACCCCCTTCCCTCCCTTCCCCTCCCCAGCCTAGGTCCTGCCCTTGGCTGTCCTGGCACCTCCCCAGGGAGGAAGCCAGGCCAGTGTGGGGCTTGAGGCCTCGGGGAAGGAAAGGGAATCAGTGTGAAAAGGGCATTTCTTGGACCAGGCTGCCAGGACCACTCGGTCAGAACCAAGGGCCCAGAACTGCCACCCAGTGCCCAGGCCCCTCTTCAGGGCTCTCACCCCTTCTCCCCAGCCTCCCACTTGCACTTTGAACCTCTAGCTCCAAATTGTAGCCCCTGCCCAGCATACTTTGAACTTGTTCCTTTAAACCTTCAGCTTCTTGTGGAACTAAAGCCCTAGAAAGCCGCATGCCCAGATACACCAAAGAGCAGAGCAGCTGCCCTTCTTCAGGGGCAGGGTGGGCATGGCACAGACTGGCCCTGACAGGCCCGGGCTCTGGCCCTGTTCCACGTGCCCGGACCTCAGCTTTCCCTGTAGGACAAAGATATTACCATCAGAGGCTGATAGTGAGTGGCCAAGGTGGGAGAGGCCCGTGGACTTCCAGGAAGAGGCCTGGCTGTACCTGGGCCTCTGGGCTTGGGCTTTGACGTGGGTCAGGAACAGGCTGGGAGTGCCTGGGCCTCTGGCTGACTGTGGTTCCTACCGGCTTCCTTCCTCCCAGCCCCACCCCCCTCCCCACTGGATGCCACTCAGCCCTGGAGCACTGGCAAGGTTGCTTTGGCCAGTTCTGCTCACCTTCTGAGCAGGCAGAGAGCCATGTGGGGAGACGTGCTCAGAGTTTTTGAGAATGATACTGAGGGGTTCTCTGCAACGCGAATGAATTGTGGCTAGAGTGCCACTCGTCACAGTCCTGAGCAGTCGGGGCTGGAGGCGTGTAATGCGACAGGCTGTGTGACAGGATGCCAGCTCCAGAATCAGCCAGACTTGAAGTAGGACCCTGGCTCAGAATCCAGGGCTGGGACTCAGGTGAGGCAAGTGAGGTGAGTCACCCAAGTCTTTACTGAAACTGTTACTATTTTGTCCATCAGGGATTTAAAATTTTTGATTTACAAAATATATTGTTTGTCTTGGTTACTGAGTTTTGTGGCAACCCCATAAATGTGCCTGAGGCAGGG